GCTTCAGCTATTCTGTGCCATGAGAAAAATTAACTACAAGGATGAAATATTCAATCATATTATAAACTTCAGTGGTACATGGCCTCTGGCAATCAGAGAAATGTATCGCAGAAATATGAGCATCAGCATGAATGGAAGGCAGGGTCACAATGTCGCAATTGACGAGTATGTCGAGACTGCTATGGTTCGTCCGTTAAAGGTTTATTCGAAGAAACACACAACTGTTGCTATGCTTGAAAAGATTAATATGAACCTTGAACTTTTCGAACACGTTAAGAACGTTTACCGGAGTGGTTTCAATATTCATTCCCGAGTAGCCAGTTCTGCGCCGTCATCAGTCCCTGACAGAATTTTAATAGCTTGGTTCATACTCAAAGAAGGCTTTCTTGATTGTACACCTGGATCATCTGATGAAGTGAGATTGTTTCCTCACCACCAGAAAGAAAAGCCCGCACAGTTCAAAAAAGTTCCAAGCGAATGTTTGAACGTAATGGAACGCGGAAAAGCATATCTAAAAGATAACTTCAGTGACATACGTAACCGTCTTTTCCCCAATTTCAATCTGGATGGCGTATAATGTTAACACATAACCACCATATCGTTGCTTAATACATTCATATAAAAACAGCCAAAGTCTATGTACAGTGCGTTTCTGTTCTTAGAACCTTTCCTTGGAGGAACTTCCCTCAAGATGTCTTCAACTACAAGATTCTGCAAGAGACTTTCACATCGCCCCACAGTTAATTTAATTTGACCATACTCTGGAATAAGATGATGTTGATTGGAGATAAGATCTTTCTGCTTTTTACCTGTTAAAACATTTGCTAAATACTTCAAAGTAAAGTTGCTTTTGCCAGAACTTTTCAGTTTTTGAAGACACTTAATTGCTGTAATTGCATTATTGGTCATGTCAGCAACATTGTGTGTTTGCTTTTTCTGACACAAATCGCATGCAGAACAGGGTAACATTTCCTCACCAAAATGGTTTGCAATAGTTTGCCATCTACACCCACCAAGCTGCATACAATATTTGACAACTTTTTGAAACGTAAGCATCCTGGAATTCAAATGAATTGGGATGTTTTGCATTAAACAGTAATCGTAAATCCCACGTAAATGAAAAGGTTTATCATTTCGAGAAAAATATATAACACATTTGCATGCACAACCATTTCGGCCTCCTCTTCCACTTTCTTGATAGTATTCTTCAATTGACGCTGGCAAAGAATAATGTATTATTACCCTCACATTTGCCTTGTCTATTCCCATGCCAAACGCTGTAGTACACACCAATGTTGATAAAGATCCATCTATCCACAATGACTGTAATTTCTTCTTCAGTCCAGCTGACAATCCCCCGTGATACGCTTTACACTTAATGTTTGCTGTTTGTAGTTTTGCTGCCACGACTTCCGTCTCTGCTCTGGTGTTGCAATAAACTAATCCACAATCTGCAGTTGAAAGGTCTTTTGCAATTTCGTCAATTGTTTTCTTTCCTTTTTCATGCACTTGATATTGAAGATTACTCCTTACACAAGAGGACTGTAGGATGGCTACACTTGATAGGCCTATCATCTTACAAACATCTTCTCTAACACATATTGTAGCTGATGCACTCAACAATAAGAATGGAACTTTTGGAAATTTAGTGTGTAAGGATTTCAAAAACTTGTAAGCTGGTCGAAAGTCATGACCCCACTGACTTACACAGTGGGCTTCATCAACTACAAATTGCCTTAAACTGTTAGTTGCATGAAGTTGAACAAGAAGTTCCATGAGAGATGGTGTATTGGATAGGAATTCAGCAGTTATGTACAGCAGTCTAATTTCAGAATTTGGTTGTTTCAATTCTGCATACACCTTTTCCCTATCGCAATATGATACATCACCATGCAGGATAGCAGCGGGAAGTCCCAATTCTTGGCATCTAGCAAACTGGTCTTCCATGAGAGATTTTAAAGGCACAACTACGACTGTTAAGCTCCTGGATATGATTGATGGTAGCATATAAAGAAGTGACTTTCCTCCTGAGGTTGGCAATGATACAAAAACAGTTTTTCCAGCGAGAATTAAGTCTAAAGCTTGTTCTTGCTTTGGTTGAAACGAGGCATGTCCAAACATCATTTCCATGACTGGTTTCAAATCTGATCCCCTCGACGGTGACAAAGTACCACACTTCAACAAGTCAGTCCACCCTGCATTTTTAGGTTTGTTGATATAACACTCTTGCTGGTCATTTGTACTGCTACAGGTAGATGACTGTAGATTTTCAGTCACCATATTCGTATCAACCATTGACTCTATATAATGTTCAGTTGCTATGTTTCGTACACATTCTATCTCAACATCATCTCCTGACTTCCATGAATTATATGTTTTCAGAAAATTTTCATCTTTAACAAATATCTGTTGATACTTTCCACTAGAAAAACTGCTTAGCTTTTTCATTTTAAGTAAAATTGTGGCCAATATGTACGCAACTTGGTAATGGTTTTCACCTTTAACATCAACATCTTTATCCAAAAAAGTGGCCTTGTACACTTTGCCATTAACCTGAGTGTATATAATAAACTTGCTATTCAAATCAACAAATAATCTTATATTGAATTAAAATATACAGTAAGAATATTTGTTGATTAGAATAGCAAGTTTATTAACATTATACAGTAGTGGGATATATTCACAACATTAAAGAGTGTGGCAATTGGGTTTGCAACATACAGGTATGAGCACCTTTTGTAACTTCAAAACTTAGTCATTTCAGATTTATTGCCCTAAATTTAATACAATATATACATGTAATAATTTCAAGGCAGCAATATTCTCTTGATGAGTAAAATTGTATGCCATTAGACAGAGTAAAATAACAAAATAGGCCAATTTTTAATACATACAAATCTCGTATTCAAAAGTTAGCAAGTATTCAAATGAAAATTGTGAGATTTAATAGGACTTTCAAATCATATTTTGATAGATCAGAGCCAATTTTTAAAGAATTACAAATTCCTAATTTAGTCAAAATAAATATGTATTTATTTTGAATTTCTTATATTTATACATTTCACTAATTTTGTGTATACCTTATGGTTATATCTGTATTCCATGGAACTCTATTTAATATATTTTAAATTCTTTCAAAAACACTTTGCCTGCCACCACATTATATTAATCAATTTGTAATCTAGGGGTCTTAAATAAAAGCCTTATGGGTTGTAGTCTATTGTCCAATGCCAGATGATTTTACTTATTAATGGAAGCTCTGCAGCTTACCATTAAGCTTAAAAACAATTAATATGTACATTCAATAAAAGTATGTCACAAAAATAATAATTTATGAAATGAATTAAATATTTGAGACATAATGATACAAATTAAAGTGACTATGTTAACAGCAGCAGGTTACAGCTATGAAAGAGGCTAAATGACTGCCAACCTCGTACCCAATATAACTTTTCACACTTGATTAACTATATCTATTCCTACACAACTTAGTATTGCTGCATATTACTGGCAATTGTTAACACTTTACATTAACACCAACTTAGTGCACACTGTCTTGTATAAATTTGAAATTTCATACAGAATTGCAAAATTGCACACCTATGTTCTAGTCTTGCACACCCGAGTTCTCGTCGAACTGTCATACTATGCAGTCTCAGTCAGGCCGTTTGATATTATATTAGATAATTTAGCTGACAATAGCCAATAGCTACTGAATCCTGAAGGATTCAGCATCTATTATTAGGCATTTATGCATTTATGCACATATCGACGGCCTGCCCGGGGGGTACACCCCCGGGACAACCGGGGGGAAACGAGGGGGAATTTGGTATTTTAGCCGTGTATTCTGCCCGTGAACCCCGGGGAAATTACAAACTTCGCAATAATAGGACGACGGGGGGAGGGGAATTAAGTAGGGGAC